CTGTAAGTGTCCAAGGCCAGGTTGGATGGGGCTTGGAGCAACCTGGGACAGTGGAAGGTGTCCCTGACCATGGCAGGGGGCTGGAATGGGATGATCTTTAAGAGCCTTTCCAACCCAAACCATTCCAAGATTCTACATCCACACTGGGGATGAGAGAAGAGGGTGGTGGCCCTTCTGCCATGTCCTCCTACCTCCAAATAGGTTTTCCCAACCCCTCTCCAAACTCCATTCCCAAAGGGTGCAGAGGTGTTCGTATCCAAAGGGTCTCAGAGCAACGAGAAGAGGTAATTAGGGAGATTTCCAACGAGGAAGTAAAGAATGAAAAAAAAGTTAATTTTCTGAGGAGATTGAAACCAGAGGAATGGGCATGGTCTTTGGAGCATTGAGTGGTTTAATGACTGGTAATGACTAATTAATTTATAATCATTGGTAGTAATGAGGGGCAGATTTTCATTTTCTATTAAATGGCGTAGCTGGACTTATTCTGAGGTGATTTACAGCAAGTTCCTGATTCAGCACATCCACAGCACCCATCTTTTATGTGATTTATAGCAGCTTTTAAAGTAAGAACTGGATGGCTTTGATCCAATTGCTTTCTTTGAGTCCAACAGGATAAATAAGCAGGCACCAGACCAGGTCTTTGAAGAGCAAAAGGTGGTTATTTTAATTTTTAATTCTTTTTTCTTGCCTTGATATTGCTGTGTACTCTTTCAGTGTGCATCTAGAAATGGATTTCAGGCTGTGCCAAATGTTGCTTTGGCCCTGGATAGATTTTATTCTGCTACTGCATTCAGTGCTCTTCTGTCAGCTTTTCTGCCATGGGAGTGTGAGACCAGGCACAGCATCTGGGGAGTGTTATTTGTTTTCTGATACTTTCCCTGGGGTTTCCTGTTCTTGTCGGCTTTCTGATTTATTTTCTTTTGGTTTTTGGTTTTTTTTTCCCTTTTGGATGAGGTTACTTCTGTTGATGTATGGCCCAGATCTGTCCTAGTCTGCTTTTGAAAGCTGTTAAATGAGTAAAGCTGGACTTTGGGATTGGAAGTGATGTGAGGGCAAATGTGTATTCCCACATTTGAAGAGAGTTCAGATTCCTCAGGACAGGGGGTGTCTGTGTGGGGCAATGTACACAAATTTGATGCTTTAAAAATGAAAGGCTGTAATATTTCTATTTGTTGGGAAAGGCTGGTTAAGCAGAAAAAAAATAAAAATAATAGAGTTAGGGATGAAAGGAAAGACAGGCTGGAAGACCTGGAATTGTTTAATCTGGAGAAGAGAAGGTTCCAGGGAGATCTTGGGAGTTTGGACAAGGGATGGAGTGATAGGACAAAGGGGAATGGCTTTAAACTGACAGAAGGCAGRGTTGGACGGGATATTGGGAAGAAATTCTTCCCTGTGAGGGCAGAGAGGTGCTGACACAAGTTTTCCAGAGAAATTGTGGGTGCTTCATCCCTGGAAGTGTCCAAGACCAGGCTGAATGGGACATTGAGCACTCTGGGATAGTGRAAGGTGTCYCTGCCCAGGGCAGGAGGTTCAAATAAATGATCTTGATGGTCCCTTCCGACCCAAATTATTATATGATTTCAAAATTCTATAATTAGGACCCTTCTAAAAGCACTTTTCTAGATATCCTCAAACCCATAAATACAAAAGATCAACAGAACACTAATAAACCAAAAAAAAACCAAAACACCCCACAAGAGTCTGTTCCAGAGAGAAAGTAAAAGCTGTTGTGGAAATATGGACAGAGGATAAATTGAAAGCAAGCAATGCAAATTAAAAGCTTGGAAAACACAAGAGAAAAAAAAAAAAAGAGAAAGGTGTAGGAATTCTATTTTTCAGAGTGGCAAAAATGAATAAAAAGGAAAATTTAGAGTCTGCTAAGCCCATAATAAATCCTGATTGTATTGGTTTGTTACTAGCTCAAAATGACAGATTTATTTATAATAATGCAGGAATTTCAATAAACGCCTGTATTCTGTAATTGGAAGAGAGCCTGGTTCCTTAATCCACATCCCAGCCTAATGAAATACTTTTCATTACACCAGCAGCTGGAAAACCTGCTATACATCATCCAATAAAGTGAGTTGTGGGTAAAAATAACGAGACAGAGCAATTTGGAATGCAAGGATTTTAAAAAGAGCAGGTTGAGACTAATTTGGGATCATTGCTCTTTAGGAAAAGAAAGGGGGAAGGGCTCCCAAAATCTGGAGAGCAGAGCATGTGGGTGTGAGCACAGCAGCCTCACATCTGTCTAAGGCACAACATTCACCAGAAACGGGATCCAAAAATTTAGGGATTGTGGGTAATATTATGATTATAATTGAATAATAGCACGCTTATTAAAACAGAGGCATTAACAGCAATCAACTTATGGAAAATAGATTTTGTCAAGCTAAATTAATACTTTCTAGGAGAATACAGAACTGGTTGGTAGATCCTGCCTGGGAATTTGTCATTGTTTGTACACATCATAAATAAGGCATTTTTCTCAGTGACAGTGAATAAACAGAACAGCTCAATAATGCAGATCTTGGAATTATAAGCAGGACATAGAGAGAAGAATACAGAATTTGGATTTCCCCTCAGATTGGCCTTGGATCTCCGGGTGCTTTCCAAGAAGGGTGTTGGGGAATGTCAGAAGGTGCATGAAAGAGAGCAAAGAACAGTGCCAGGATCTGTGAGTCTCCAGGAGAGGATGTGACAGCTCAGAGATGATCATGTGAAGAGCTGCTGATCCAGAGAAGACAATTTGTGTCCCATGAGATGGATGAACAGAAAACCACGGGATAACAGAATGGTTTGGGTTGGAAGGGACATGAAATATTATTTAATTYCAACCCCCTGCCATGGGCAGGGATGCCTTCCACTAGACCAGGTTGCCCCAAACCCCATCCAACCCAGCCTTGGACACTTGCAGGGATGAGACATCCAGACATTTAGTAGAGTCCAGACATTTAGAAAGCTAAAAAAAAAAAAAATAAAAATCTGTTCTCTGCGTTGCCTACAGCTTCTGCAGTAAAATTAATTTAGCTTTTTAATTTTTTTTTTCCCAAACTATGAAGTGTTTTCACCCAAACCACAACTCAGGGAGGCTCAGTGTCATATGTTAAGCAGGATCTGAGCAGATAATGACAGCAGGATGTGCTGGTGCTCTGTCACCCTGTCGGTCCCCAGCCCGTGGTGGCACAGGGAGGTGGAGGGAGGCTCAGAATTGTTGCGTGAGGAGCAGGTCAGAGCGTGCACTGAGTCGAGACCTGCAGAAAACTTGTGTGTGACTCAGGGCAGGTCTCTGGAGCCAGCAGAACAGAGATGTCCAGGCCATCTGTGATGCACCCAAGGCTGCTGAGCAGCTTGGCTCCATCTGGAGCTGCCGTGGGCTCGCTGCTGGCGTTGCTGGCGAGGTCCCCTCCTCTGAGGATGGTCAGCTGTGGAGATGGGACATCTTTCCCCCACGTCCCTTCAGTGAAGGCAGATGGCCTTTTTGCTCTGCCTCCACATCCTGTCTCGGGCTCCTGTGCAGCCCAGGTTATCCTCAGGGATCCTGACCTCCTCCCCATCCACTGCATTTCGGAACTTACTCTCTGCGTTTACACTCCCTGTGTGACTATTCCAGGAGAGAGCACTGGACAGGACACAGAAGGAATGGTGGAAAATTACTTTTTGTACTTCTTGGGTCCTGACTGTCCCAGCACGTGAGGCAGAGCAGGAGATTCCCCCTTTCCCCTCCATGCTCACATGGAGATGGGCTGCAATATTTTTTCCTCATGAAACCACCCCACCTGTGGGATGAAGACCATGGAGACTTTCCCATCTATGGCCCCTTCCCCATTCTGCTGGAGCCTGAAAGGATGCCAGGAGAAATCAGGGATTTGTCCCTTTGAGGTCTACAGGTCCCTTTGGCCATCCTTGTCATGCCCAGAGCTCTGGGAATGTGGGGAAGAGCTGAGGAGGCTCCTGCCCTGGCCTTTGGAGATCCTGGCCACAGAGAACTGATAGAAGAGAGAACAAAGGGAGCGTGGGAGCCGTGAATTGGGGTTTCTGTGGCTGGGGGAGATCTCGACATGTCTCTGTGGGGTGTGGAACAGGGGTTTGGGGGGTGTATGGAGAGAGGGATGGGGCTATAGGGGGAGCGAGGTGTAATTTAGGTCATGTTAAATCCATATAATGAATATGTGGGATAGAGCTTTATGGATGGGGAGGTGTATTCAGGTTATTTAGGGTCAGGGCTATAGGATTATTCATCCACATGTGCCACATGTGGATAAACGTGGTGGGTGTCACAGGGCTGTAAGGTTGTGCATGGACATGTTGGGTGGACAGTTGTGCATTGGTATATGGGATAAATGGGGCAGAGCTATAGGGTTAAGGATGTGATATAGAATAAGTGGGACAGGGCTATAGGATTAAAGAAATGCACATGAGATATGTGGGACTGGGCTATAGGGTTAAGGAGGTGTGTATCAGATATGTCAGGCAGGGATATAGGATTAAGGTGTATGTGGGATACGTAGGATAGGCTTATGGGGCAAGAGGGTATATATAGGATATTGTAGGGCTATAGGGTCAGGAAGGTGTATATGGGATATGTGGGGCAGGGCTATAGGGTTATGCACCCATGTCTGTGTGGGATGAGGCTGTGCAGTTATGTGTGCACACACGGGATAGGTGGGCTATAGGGTTAGCGGGGTGTATATGGGACGTGTGGGGCAGGGCTATAGGGTCAGGGAGGTCTGTATGGCCATACAGGGCAGCCCGGGGACTGCAGGGGGCCGCTGATATTTGTGGAGGGTGATGGAGGGGCCAGAACAGCTCGGGGAACCCGGGCACGGAGCAGCACCAGGACCAGGATGGAGACGCAGCTCCGGTGGGGGGTTGGTGGGATGGGGGCGGCGGGGGGCGCGGTGCCCGCTCCCCGCCCGCCCTGACGGCCGCTCTCCCTCTCTCCCCGCTCCGCCGCCCCGTCCCTCCCTCCCTGCTCTCCTCCCTCCAGCAGAGCCTCCGCCTCCGCCTCTCCGCCCGGCGCCTGGTCCTGGCGCGGCTGCCGAACGGTCCCGCTCGACGCCTCCCGGACCAAGTGCCTGTGTGACCGGCTCTCCGCCTTCGCCATCTTAGCCCAGCTCAGCCCCGACATGGTGAGTCCGGCCGGCGGCACCGCGGAGGGAGGAGCGGAGGGGCCGGGGAGGCGTGGGGACACACGGGGGACAGGGCGAAAGCGAGCGGGAGRGAAGGGGACGCGGCCGGGATGCAGCGGAGCATCCCCGGCGCGCCGCTCTCGGGTACCGCGGCGGGGACAGCCCCGAGCGCCGCCGCCGCTGCCGCCGCTGCTGCTGCTGCAGTCCGGTGTCACCGGGACCGTGGCGACACAGCGTGAGGCTTTGCATAACCCTCCCCCTTCCTTCGCCGCCGTCCTTCTTCTCCCCTTCCCCCCGACCCTGACCGCAGCTTCGGGGACGCACACACGGGCAAGACATCGGGGCTGCTCCTGCTGCCGCGCTGCTCCCCTCATCATCCCCATCCATCCATCTATCTATCCATCCATCCCTCCATCCCTCCATCCCCGCGCCGTGCTTCTGGACGCGAATCCCGCTAAATGTGGGGAGCCACCGGCCCCCGCAGGAGTGTTCGCTCCCGTGGGCTCCCCACGCACGGAACCTTCGCACGTGGTTTAATTTTGGGGGGGC